ACGATTCATATCGTCCAGAAAAAAGGGTCTCACTGTTAGCGAAGTACATTCATTTGCAAACAAACTTGTTCTTGCGAGAGACTCACCTGGAACACAGCTGAGTCTCTCGTATGTGTTGTTTCAACCGGGTTCTAGGTAAGTCTCCCGCAAAACCAAATTTGTTTGCAAATGAGTGTATTTCGCCAGTTTCGTGCATTTTGGTTTCAAGTTGACCGAAGCTCGGGAACTGCGCCTATTTGATGGGCCTCAAGAAGGGCGAAACCGGTCGTGGGCCGTCGAAGACCACATGAGTAGGGTCTCGCTAGTATTTGACTTCCCTCGCCTGTATCCACCCTCAATAGTCTGATAACCCACTTGCCAATTCCGTCAACTGGTGCTTCCGTTCAGTGGTGCTCCAAATAGGTTTGAGTAGCAAGAAACTAGTGGGGATGTCTTGATTGCACGTTGTGCACATAATATCCAATCAGAATAATTTGTTTCTTCTAAAAGGCATTGCATTCACTAGTAGTTTCTTAAAACAAAAATGAGAGAGAGCTGTTATTCGGTCGAGTCATCCAGGATCAACAAGTTAGTCTGCAACTTAGTGCATAATTTACGTACAGATTCGTATCAAGTCGGATACATGGGGATGGGGCATATCCGGTGAATCCTTAGGAGGGCGAATGCCGAAACGGGCAAATGAGTAGTTTTCATCGAAATCCTGATTGGTGTTGTGCCAACATTGATACAATAATACAATACAATACAATACAATACAATACAATACAATACAATACAATACAATACAATACAATACAATACAATACAATACAATACAATACAATACAATACAATACAATACAATACAATACAATACAATACAATACAATACAATACAATACAATACAATACAATACAATACAATACAATACAATACAATACAATACAATACAATACAATACAATACAATACAATACAATACAATACAATACAATACAATACAATACAATACAATACAATACAATACAATACAATACAATACAATACAATACAATACAATACAATACAATACAATACAATACAATACAATACAATACAATACAATACAATACAATACAATACAATACAATACAATACAATACAATACAATACAATACAATACAATACAATACAATACAATACAATACAATGATAATAATTAACACAATAATACAGACGCAAAACACTACTCACAAGGTTGCTGAAAACTCCCAACAGCCTACGACCGGTTCCGCCTTTCTTGGGACCCATTAAGGTTAGTGCAGTCCCCGAGTTTCCGTGAACCTCATGTTCTCCTTGAACCAAAATTGGACACATTCTGTCAATTACTCTCATTTGCAAAACAGATTTGGTTTTGTCAAGAGAACCAAATGAATCCAGCTGAATCTCTTGTTGTCAAAACCAAATTCGTGTGCGAGTGAGAATATCTGTCGAAACACGCATCCTTGTTTGGATTTCCTTGAGGGGCACAACTCCCAAGCTAGGTCATACATCAGCATGCATCAGCATAACTCATCCTAGTGGCTTGAGAAGTTTATTTTTCACTAGTACTCTGGCTCGTTTCTTCTTGGGTCTGAGAAGTGGTATAATCGGATAGGCAAAATCGAAATCGCTCTGGATTTGCGTAACACGTGAACGGATGAACTTGACCATGTGCATCATATTCAAATGCAGCGTGGTAATCGATCGCCAGTATTAATCACATGATCCAAGGGTGCCTCGAACCCCTGAGTCTGTGAGCCCAACGAACTGGACAAGGTATGTAGAGTAGTTTTGTGTCAAAAATAGTGAAGTGATTAAAAACTTGTAGATTGTATACACAACTCTTACTTTCCTGCTTTTACTATTTGATTCAACGACCTGGTCAACGTATGAGAAATACTTACATATTCTCCCTATTATCGCCTGAGTTACTCGTCATGTGGTACAAACAGGATGGCTCAAGTGCACTCGAGAAAGTTGTCAGTAGGGATAAAGGATTTACCAAGTGTCACGAGAGCCCTCCGATTGAAATAGCCTCCTTTCTAACAAGATGATTCCCACCAAAAGTAATGGTGATACCACCATTGTGTAGGCTCCAACAAAAAACCACTTGATATTCAAGAATAATCACGATGACTAGCAGAACGGCTGAGTGCTCCCCGATGATCTAAAGCCTAGAAAGCAAATCATGCGGTGTTATGTATGAACAAAGATTTGTGTTCACAAAGTACAGTACAGCTCCCGAGTAAACAGTAGTCCATCTTCAACATGACTAGCAGAAGAGTGCTCCCCGATGATCTAAAGCCTAGAAAGCAAATCATGCGGTGTTATGTATGAACAAAGATTTGTGTTCACAAAGTACAGTACAGCTCCCGAGTAAACAGTAGTCCATCTTCAACATGCTATCCTATTATAATTCTTCCGTATTTCTGAATGACCGACATGTTTCCCAAAACGGATATCCCCAATGAATGTCTATTTGTATCGTGAGCATTGCTGATAAACTAGTCTGTCACATCATCATTGTCATCATTGACAGTAATACACCAGTAATTTATACTGACGCCTAGCTGTTAAACAACCACGATGAAAGAGTGATTTGGAACTCGGTGGAAAGTAAAGGAATTGACCGAGTTTTCTTCGCGAAACTCTCCCGATTTAAACCCGGCTCACGACGGACAAACCTAATAAGGACAGTCCGGATGAAAACCGATGATGATGATGATGATGATGATGATGATGATGATGATGATGATGATGATGATGATGATGATGATGATGATGATGAGTGTGGGATTTACAGCCATATACAAGCAACATCACGCTGGACCCAACCAGAAGTGCGTGAAGGTACCGCAGCGCTTAGGTTGACTGTCCTCTGTCCTTTCACGTCGCCATACCAGTCACCCGCGGAATTTTTCGTGCAATCGCTTGGAACGAATGGACGATGGTTGGACCGAAGTAACACAAGACTTAACAGCCATAACCTGGTTATTATAATCTGCTTTTTCGTTACAAAATCACCACCACACTGGGGGGACATTTACAATGGGCTTGGTCTAGCGGAGATTAGGCTAAAATAGGAATGCAAAGTCTACCCTAAATAGAATAGGTGGACGGTAGTTTACAGCTTGATGAAACAGTGCAAGGTAAGACAAAATACTAATTAGCGCGGGGTCTTGTTCTAGGATTAGCTGGGTTGTGTAAATATTACTCCTGAGTGGCTCACTAGAGACAACAACTGGGCAATTTCATCACACCGCCTCTTTGTCCCACGATCGTGCAAGTCTACCGAATAACTAGTGAACCATTCGATGGCGCACGCGAAAAACCCAATCAAAACCTAATCGTACTTTTGCTTTCTATACGTACATCCTCTTATAAGAAGATCCTTCCACGAAATAATACTTCTTAGAGATGTTTTGTTACCCCTCCCTCCCTAAGCTGGCCGGTTGAGGAGCAGGGAATTCACGCTGGGGCGATACCTAAATTTGACCGAACGCCATATCGTTAGCGTAAATGGTTGAGCGGAATGTCGTGCATGCAACTCATCAGCTAATTTGCAATCGGCAGACCACGCAAATATCAAAATCTACTGGTGCATGGACCCCGGCTAGAAACCGAATACATGGGTATCGACGCCTTAAACTTAAATGCAGAAGCGTATCGACCGCAAGCAACCTCGGGCTGGTTACACCTGCCCTGTGAAAGGAAACGGTTAACTCTGATGTGACTGTTAGTCTTCCGTCGTGATGCTGGCTTTATGAAAAATTGTAGCCAAAGGGAGATCACCTAAGCTAATACTTCACGATTTCCACGACCAGTAACACTAAGAAGCCGAAATCAAATAATTGTTTGAGGCTATCTACCTTGAAAATAATGGATAAGGCATCTCCAGTTGACAAAGGTAGGGGTCGGCCAATTTCCCTGCTCTCTTCCGGACAAATCATTAGCATTGCTCCAGTCAAATCAGTAGTTTAAGTGGTAAACCGGCCCGTCGATTGTTCCCGTCTCTAGTTGGGTACCCTGAACTCTCGCATCCCTGACGCATCGATTGGGTTTTCTAGCAGACACGCACCGTGAACGGGTTAGTTGCTTTGCCTTCCGCGCTTATGCAAACGGGTCAGCGAGCGACCAGACGGCTGACTGTCCAAACTACTGACTGGAATGTATAGGGATCAAGACTCTTTGAAGATGACTGCAGATAAGGATGGAATAACTGTACGGTACTCCTCAGATTTTCAGCATAGACTAGCTTTACTTACAGAAAATCTCCACTCAAGAAGTCCTCTCGCTAGCAACAACCCGCTGCGCACTGCACATGAAGACACTACCTCTCAGCAACGGCCCCTCTTAGTAGTGAACAAAGCCTAAAGAGTGATGTTCCAAGTCCGCGTGAAACCTGCATTTTTAATAACAGGCACTCCACCGAATGGAGGCTACTTCAGATTTTCGCAAGATATTTCTGTGCCATTTAACTATATAATGTTGCCAGAATAGTTGCCTCAACCCCTAACAACAAATCAAAAAGCATCAGTTGGTTCACTTCTCGTCAGAGCTTGTTCCGAACAGTCTTCTAGCAATCACGGAGTAAACAGCCTGCACACATAACAGATGTGAAAATGGGTAGTACGTTCACCACCCGTAAACGGAACAGAAAAATACGAAGATCGAGGACAATACATATATACACAGGAACGGGGTGCGCCAAAATTGAATAAAAGCGCCACATGTCATTTTGAGAGGTTTCGGCTCGGGCTGGAAGCGACTGAGAACGGTCACCGGAATGGTCCAAGTAAAAATAGGAGTCATCGATCAAGGAGAATTTGACCTGAGTGGAATGATCTCGCACGATAAAATGAGTGTGTGTTGTAGCCAGTGCCGCAAAAAATGTGACAGTTGATGTTGCACTTATTGTAATAAAAAAAAACAGCCATATGGAATGAAACGGAGAGGGTGGAAAGCACGTAACTGAATTCAGTGTGTAGTAGCGTTAGAGACTAATCAGTTGATTCACCTGGCTGTTCTGTCGTTTGGGTGATAAATGGAGGTAGATCTTCAACTGACGATGCACAGCGTTCAGAGAATTCGACTGAGGATGGGGCACCGGTACTACTGTAGATACTATCTCTGTGATCTGACTCAACTCTGTCCTCCGTGGACACATCATTGCATGGTGAATGATTGTCCGAATCAATGGCCGATGTGACTGGAGCGACTTCATGTTCAGGTGTGCTCGGTTGAGGTGTGGAGTCTACTTCCATCAGGGAATCACGTCGAATCATCGTGGTGTTCAAGGAATCTTCGACATCTTCATTCACCGACATTGGGCAGGAACGGTTGAGAAAGTCCAGGCTCTCAGACGACGTCAGGTGAACAGTGATATTGTCTCGTGGTGTGTAACCCGGATGTCCCATTTCCATATGGCGCATAAGATGATCCTTTCTGTAATAGGCTTTCGAACAAACACGACATTCGAACGGCTTGAAACCAACATGCTTCAAAGCATGGCGCTGAAGATTCGAACGTTGAGTGAACTGAGCTCTGCAAATATGACACCGATATGTTCCGTGTTGGAACATTGTGTGTTCCTCGAGCGTGTGCAATGACGGAAATTCTTCGCGGCACTGATTGCAAGGAAAACGTCGGTTTGAGTTGGGTCGCCTTAGAGCACACATTCTTCCAATGGAGTTGGTACGATTGATCACTTTTCTTCGGGCTGATTTCACGGGGGTGTCTGGAGGTAATTGATGGCTAAAATTCATCGCAGGGTAAGCGTCACTCGGCTGGTTTGTAGCCGAAAATAGACCAGTAGGTGTCGTGCTGATGGATCGACAGTCGTTAAGGTTCGTGGACGCCCGGCTCCATATAGATTGTAATTGGTTAAAAGCGGCAAGGTGTGACTGATACGCCTCCAAAAGGTGTTGGTCAGTGGACTTGATAGGGTCGGCGAATGAATCTTTCATGGGAGTGATGGGCGCCGAACCCGACAATGAACCGTTGCGCGAGAGATCCAGCACTCCGGAGTCCGTGGATGGAGTGAATGGCCCGGAAGGACCGACTAGCACGGGGCTGTTAGATGAAGTAGGCGATAAGGTGTGCACGGTTGAATCGGGCAGCGATGCAGAGTGGAACTCATCGAGGTTACACTTTGTCGGATTTAAGGGCTTTCGACGTGATGAGCCACCGTTACAATGGTTGGATGCTGAATACTTGTGGGTTGCATCTGTGAAGCCAACGCTGGTTGGAGGCGAACTACGGGGGGAACAGGGCTCTACCGTTGGAGTGGTTTGATGATGTGGTAGTTCATCCGAGAATTTCAGCACCGTTTTACTCTGAATCACCTGCATCCCATTTGGTGTTGTACCCTCGAACGAGATCTCCAAATTGCCGTGAATACTCAGAGGGGAGAAATTAGGCAGGCATTCGCCCAATGCTTGACGGATGGCCAGCTGGAGTAGGGGTGAACACGCAGGTAATAGTTGTGATCCCGCTGCAACAGAATTCGAACTTAGCGCACTCGTAATGGCTGCAGTCATGGAAAAGCTCGATGGACCCTGAGTGGGACACTTGATGACATCCTCCTCTGTGGAAGTGGACGGCTGGTGAGCCTCAATCACTGAGGGTTGTAAGTTAGGTGCTACTCGTTTGCAGGAAGCGGCCAATAGCTGTGATATTGCGGGCGATCCCAACTCAAGTATTGGCGTCGCATTGAGATGCTGGGCAAGTGAGCGACATAAATTCTGCGCTTCCGGCCTCATATTCTGCATCAAGGCGATCAAGTTCAAATCGGATCCGTTGGTACCACGACCGTAAGTCATGAATGCAGGATTTGTCATGCCGGCGGTCAGTATATGTGTCGACGGTGATGTCGACAGATTGGGATTGAAACTGGATATAATCAGTGATTTGCCTGACAGCAAGTTTTGCTCGATCATGAAACGTTCGATATCCTCGTTGTCAGTCGGCTAACGAGAATGCTACAATAAATAGATACAGGAAAAGGGGGTTAATTAACCACGATGGTGAGATTCAATGGCTCCGTGATATTCACACTCTAGGTTCCTGGCACATTTGGCTCAAACAAACTGGTTGCACCATTTTACACAACGGACAGACTAACAAAGAAACTCAACGGTGTATCGATATTGCCCACAGGAACTAGTGTAGCTGAGGTTGGTTCACACATGGGTCCCCAACACAGCCATTTGTCGGGGCCCAATTTTTCCCACGAAAGGTGGTCTCTACGATTAGAAGTCATCCGAATGCCAAGGGTTTTTTGAACACTAGTGTCACCGGCGTATAGTGGGAGCTCGGGAACACTGTTGTGACATACTAGGACTAGTTAGGCTCTTTGTACGAAACCCGCGCCGAAAGAGTACTGATTCCGACACTGGTCAGTTTCCGACCGGTCAGCTGTGACAGAGCAATCGGTCTCTACGAAACATCCTCCCTGAAGCCAACATTGTTTCACGACTTATGCAAATCTAACAATCGACCGCCGTTTCCGGACAACGTGCTGCCAAGACATTTCTCAAGTCGACTAAAACTGTCTGATTTGATAATCGTTTGAAATTGAAGAAAGTGAGTGCGTTTGCATTTTGAAATATCTTAAGCGGCGTAATTATTGTGGTTATTCGAAATCGAATGTGGGGAATGCTGGACAAAGTTCTCGCTCCTACAAGAGCTGATCAGTAGAACATGCTCTTGAGTCTACGGGGCTAGGAACTCCTATCGAATAATATGCGGGACAAGAATCCCACCGCTTAAGACACAAAAATTACCCCGGTGAACACTTTCATCCGTTTTCTCCTAACGCGGAGTTAAATTTGGAAAAAAAACTAGGAAGCCTGCTCAGTTTTTTGCTCAAGGGTTATACCTCATGTCAAGGAATGAAAACAAGCTGGTCAAATCAACTCTTCCACGTTCGCTGAAAATCACGCAAGGTGAGAACTTTGTGCTTTACTTCTAAGACAACCGGAATTCAATCTGGGACATGATCCTTTCACGATGGCTTCTAATCACTAGCATAAACTCTCATGAGCCAAACAAATGTCTGCTTATCAGGGGAACATCTATGCCACAAAAACTGTGCCCGAATAGAACATGGATGGACCACACAGCTAGGCAGTGGCCGTATATGAAACAGAGCTGGCAAATACACCTAACGTTCACAAAAACCTATAACCCTGTTCTCCCTAAACGGACACGCTAGTGACAATACTGCTGCGATCCTAGCAGAGCATCTTAAAAAAAGCAGCGGATACTTGAAAACTGTTCAGTAGGCTCTAATAGAAGAAAACCAATCGCGATTCAAAACTTACCGGTGGTTGGTTGTTAGCCTGTTGACTGTAATCCTGCGGCCACAAGGCTGGCGAAGCAAAGTGGGACACGGAGGTGACGATCTGAACGACCCTAGACTGCGCGTCTGGTTTTATAGCACTCGTGTGACTAGGGCGACTCTGGCCTACTCGGTTAGCCAATAGAAATCAGGCGCGCGTTACCGGCCCAAACCGATCGCGGGGGTGGTGACATAGACAAGCAGCCTGTGTGGACGATGCATGCATGCTTCGTGTGCCGCTTCGCACGCGTATTTTCTGACTGGCCTGTCAGTTCAACGACCGCCAGGCACACACACCCCTCTCTCGCGTCTTGTGTGGTGTGAGGAGGCTGATACACCGCTCACAGGCTACTCGTGTAAAGTCACTTCAATTAGCCAATCAAGGTGTGGAAGTCACTGTCGCTTTCACAGGTGCCGGTTGGTCGGTGCCGTTGTGGTCTAGACGACATGTGGTGTCTCTTGATCAGAAGACAGGTGGACTCTCGCTTGGCCCAGGGAGAATTTACTGACTAGACGACATGGGGCTCTTGATCAGAAGACAGGTGGACTCTCGCTTGGCCCAGGGAGAATTTACTGACTTCGACCGTCTTCTGTGACAGAATGAACCGTGGAAGACTGGAGATACGTGGTTCCTACCGTAAACGTCGCTTAGGTCAGCTGATCCGTGAACGCCAGTTTGACTAGACTGCCTAAATACATTAAATACAACCGGTATAGAGTCAGAGAGCCCACTTTAGCCTGTTCACATTTGCTAATGTGTTTGGTGAGAAAGTAGTGCTCGAATTACTCCATCGAGACATTAGGCAAGGTACCGCAGGTCTCAGAGCTACTCATCAAAACATGACAAGTTTTTACAGGATTTTTATAGTTCTTTAATTAATCCTGTGACCGAGTAGGTTTTGTTGTCGGAACAGGACTCACTTGTCCCCGGTCTCCTACACTTTGCATGACTCCCATATTGTGGTGAAGACGATTGGGAAGGGAAAGGTGAGTCGTCATCGCCGCAAATATTGTCCCCATCAAGGTGAAGATCCCTATCCCTTGGGTTGAGATTGAGCTAAACACGTTACGGAACCTTGTCGGTTAGAATGCAATCAACTGGACAGTAGATTTAGCCTGTGTTTGCAGCTTCATAATAAACGGATTTAGTCAACCTCTTGAGTACATTTTAATCAGTGTCCATATCATCTATCAAACCAAGTACGACAAGTGTCACTTTACGAGATAAATTATATGCTGTGCCCTTCCGGTTGGTCCCCACCAAGATGTGGAAATACTTGACTCGGTTTTCTTTCTTCTCGGTGTTCAGTAGCATCGAATACCCCTGGATGCCCATGGATTCTAACCCAGGCCATGTGAGGAGATCAACAGATGCTGGACGCAACTGAACCACTCCCTTTGAACAGGTGAATGTGGTCAAGTTTGAGAACTGTGAGGTGCTCCCCAGAGGACTCGAAACAGGATCCATTAGGTGTCAAGGACCAACAATCATGTTGCAGCTACTGGGGTGCCCCCGAATGATACTGGTCAGTATGATTGAAATGAAGAAGGACGTTGGCCGATTAGTTCGGTTTTGCAGATATGTCACTAGCGAAGTGGATCACTAATCCTAAAATGAAACCGCATAGCCCGGATGAATTCACACACAATGCACCATTACGTTGACTAATCTGAACTCATTTCAGTTTATAAACGTGTGTGAACTAGTGTAACTTGCAGGCTTTCAGAAACTGAATTTGACTTGGTTCTTTGTGGAAACGAGTGCTTTTAACTATGAATACTCCCTACGGTCAAAGACTGTGTTAATTTAGCCTGTTTTCGGCGCCTGGGATTCCAGGCTGTAGAAGACGCCAAAGCTCGATTTATCGGTTGTACTTATCGGCCTGTCTGGCACTTCAAGGCATTACAAGTTGGCATGTACTCACTCCAATCCGTACAACATCGTCTAACCATTCAAAGTCACCTATTGATGTATCGCAAGTGAGTTAACCGCTTGATTTTGAGTCCTGACTGTCGCAGGCCACCTCAAAATTCCGTACAATTACGTAACTAATGGTTCAGTCAGTTACAAATGAACAACCGTGGACCATATACATATGTAATACAGATAATAATAATTCAGCTGTAACATCCTTTCCGTGCCTAGCTGCCATGCCACCCAAAGGGAGCACGAGGGCTGGGATACTGTCAGGTTGCCCAAGCCTAGGCAGGGCAAGTCGAGAGATAGAGGTCGAATTTACTGAACGGAAGGTCAGTAAATTCGCGCCCTAACCACCAGAGCTATCTCGCCCCCTATACTTATGTGAGTTGGCTCATGTCATCACAGCTTGTGGCAGTGGATGGTGTAGCGTATGGTGGAATGCATTTTAAAACAACAATGAAAGTGGGTTAACGCTTGAAAACATGACCAGATGCAACAGTCTCACTGGTTACCTCTCGTTTGGTGACGAAGCGTTTACAAGCCACAGATCTAAATCCATCTGATCAACAGCCGCTAAACGCGGTTACCGAGCTACCAACTGTTCAGGGCATTGCCAACACGTCGTTGTGTTTATGTCATCAGTGTTGACATTGCACTTATGTGGTTTGTACTATGCGAATACTGGTAATCCCAAGTGGAATGCTGACTTGAATTTTTTCCCAGGTAACTGTCACCCTGAGTTAATGCTTCACCGATATGTGACTATACAACATTTGTACGAACAGATATTTTGCAAAGTTTGACAACTCGTCAGTTTCCAATAGGATGCATTGAGGAGACCTCGATGCACCCAACAACTTTAGACAGACCGAAAATTCTGGTGACTTCTTGTATCCGCATGGAAGAAAGAAGTTTGCTGATCTACTCGAGTAGGACGTTGTCGGTGGGCTAATGTGGTGGTAGGTTGAGTTAAGTTGAATAAACCTGGTCTTTTGAGACCATATAGATCGATGTTCATTTCGAACATCTGATCGATGGTCGTCGAAGTTACCACCGGAATTTGTGTACAAGCCCATAAAAGTATCGTCCAACACGCGGAAAGCAGACCCAACGTTAAGGTCAAATCAAGCCGGGGAAATAGGGCATTCATTAGTCTTTGTTGGTGGCCATTGAGATTGGAATGCAGCGTTTAGACACACTTTTAATAACATGTAATAAGCTGTTGTTTAGACGTGACATACTATTCATAAGGTTGTTGGAAACTCTTCCACAGCCCAAGACCGGTATCACCTTACTTGGCGTTCATCAAGTAGGTGCAGTCTCGGAGTTTCCATTAATCTTCTGTCCTACTCGGACCCGAATTGGACGGATTTCGACAAGTACTCGCATTAACGCAAAAATTTGTTTTGACAGGACAGCCGACTGAATCCAGCTAAATCTGTCTTTTATGGTCGAGCAGACCATCAGAAAACGAAAGATTCAGCTACATTCAGTTGAGTCTCTTGTCAAAGAGTTAATAGGATTTTACAGAACATTCCTTTTCCGTGTTTTACCAGTTCATCTTTCTAAATGCAAAAAATTGAATTGTGTAAGTGTCGTACTTTGGTGAAAAATTACAGGGTCTTTCCTCCAGGTGGTATGTGGTCAAGAAACTCATCACTGCCATGATCATCATTGTCAACATCATCGTCATCCTCATCATCACCATCATCATCATCGCCACTAATGACTTAAACAATGTGGGAAAACAATCACCTAAAGTGTCCATATCTCTGAACCTTTACTCAGACATTACGAATATGAAAAGAAAGCGTAAGTGCTATCAACATCCGCTTGCTACCATAACCTGAGGTGTCTCGATCCAAACATGAGAAGGATCAACTGAGCTCACCCAGACTTTTCATGATCTGGTTCCTTCCCTTCCCTCTTCTCGTACTTCACCCACCTCTTGACCTTTGTCACTCTGGGGTTGGTGTGCAAAACGACACTCATCTAGGTAGGCGATACCTCAGAATCCAGTGTACATCACGCGGTCGTATTAGCTAGTATTGCTGCATACACTCCACAGGTGAACTATCTGTTTCCTGGTCTTAAGATTGCGAATTCGCTGATGCCAAACAGTCGTCCACAGCTCTGGGACAGTGACAGTCAAAGGCAGGAAAAAGCCCCCACAACTTCCGCCGAGCTTCTCAGATATAACTGAAAGTGTCACAGTGCGCTCATGCATGCCTTGAAATCTCTTATCCATCACGCAAACACGAAATTGAAGTGAGCTGTGCCGACAATTATTACGCAACCTCTTGGACTATCTTACAATCGTTCATCCTCATTACGACCAACAAGTAAACCTGAAACAACAAGCTTTATCGAAGGAATTCTAGCGGAACTTTTTGGAGGAGACCAATCACACACAACACCTGAGAGGAGGAAGAACGGTCACTGGTGGATGATATCAAACTCACCTATTCACTGAGACACTATCATCTGGTTAGCAGCGTTTAAATTAACCATAATAACAGACATGTTGAACGTTCAATTCATTAGTTGATCCGCTTCACGATCCTATTCGTATCGCGTGGAACCACGTTTGCTTGCCGTGACAACAGTCAGAGGTCAACCTCTTGTTTCTAGTTTCTTATCACACTGTGTACTGGTCATATGCATAAATTACAGTGCAAATATGGATAGGGTGCAACACATACTATCAAGAGCACAAAAGTCACCCCGGTAACCAAAAAAGAAAGAATATCACAACGTGTGAACGTATATCGTGATTGTGGATCGTATGATAAGCTATCGAGAACGTGATACTGGAGATGGTGCAAATGTCTGAGTAGCTGTCAACACTGACTTGATGCGACACGCAGTCTCAGCGAAACCTGTCAAAACCCTGGGATCGGAGTTCAAAGGTGCCGCGTGCCTGGTGCATGTGAATAAAATTTAGCTGTGGATTACAAAAGATGACTAACTGTACTGTACAAATGGGGTAGCAAAGAAACTCTGTGGGTTGTTTAGTTTAGTTAATTTCGGGGCAGGGTAATCGAAAGGTTGTGCAAAGGTGGGATATTTGATGCCATCTGGTTTCGTGAATACGTTAATGAGGAAAGGTCTCTTGAGCAGGAAAGTGGTTGCACCACAGATTTGTGTCAAACGCGATCTCCCTTCGAGCAGCGAAACTCCCCAGAACCACAGGGGACGTTTCACGACGATCGCTGATAAGTTTACGAGATGATTATCATGTGAAAGTAGACATAACAGATAACACTGTTACTTCCTTTGTACCATGGGCAGATAGTTCTTCAGCGGTGACCGCCAAGTACCTCATTTCCGTTACTGACTAAAGTTATTCAAGCTGAAAAACAGGATACTAGTCCCAACGGTTACAATCACTCTGTCGGAAAGCTTGAATGCACCTACATCGAGTTTAACTGGATATTGCTCAGTTGACAGGACCCAACTACATTCGGGTTCAGGTTGTCGGTTATAGATATGCGAATGTATGATATACTTGGAACACACCATTTGATCCACCATTTTATCACCTAAACTAAAAGTTGAAATCACCCGCTTATCCAGACTCCAGCATCAGTTGAATTTGTTTCCTCAGAAAAGAGTAGGGAACTTGTTTGAGATGCTCACGTACGTCAACTGGTGTCACGTACATTTCATTGCTACGGCAATGAAGCATCAGTGTTGAACACTGATGTCATGCTGTCAATGATGACATTTCATTGCTTAGCATATGGGCGCAGATAGCCGTGAAACTTTTTCTTAAAACGCCTTGATATTGCTGCCACAAACTGGTAGTAACCGGGATCGTGTGATTTTGACCTTTGGATCTCAGGTTCATTTCAATGACCCTTAAGTTGACCCTTTGAACCGTCTGTGGAACTATGTTGACTGGGCGTTGACCTTTTTCAGTAAAGATCGCATCCTGTAAGTGAACGCAGTCTGTTCTGGAGAGCGGAAAGCGCTGTACAACAGTTTAATCCCTACTGGGAATCATCTGCACTATGCACCTAAAAACACAAGAGATTTCCCATTCTGCAACCTGTCGACTGGTAGTCTAAGCATTTAACCGCTCGGTCAGGGATGGTTAGTCAGCACTGCAATTCACTCCCACTACGACGGAATACAGCACCACACATCCTTCAGTCACGGCATCCACATTACGTTGATAGTTTTTTACTCTTACTGAATGACGAATTCTCAGGTGGAACGTTCTTAGCTGGACGGGTCCTAGTTTGAATCAGTTTGGGAAACTCGTGAGGTGCTTAGTAAGGATAAACAAGCTATAGAGTGCGACTAATGCACACATTTGCAAATCCATTTGGTTTTCATGGAAGACTCAACCGAATCGCTCGTCTATGATGCACCGGTTTCGAAAAATTATCTCATTTGCAAACCGATTTGGTTTTGACAGGAAAATCAACCAGATCCAGCTGGAGTGGACCATCATAAACGAGGGATTCGGTTGGATCCAGTTGACTGTCCTGTCAAAACCACATTTGTGTTCAAATGAGAGTATGTGTGGGAATCTGTCCAATTTGGGTTCAATTAAAACATATGGTTGATTGAACCTCGGGGACTGCATCTACCTGATGAGTCCCAAAAAGGTCGGAAGCGGTCGTGGGCCGTCGCAGAGTTTTCATCAACCTCATGAGTAGTTTCGTTTAAGAAGCTATAGAGTGCTTTTCAGCTTTCCTAATAGACTGAATTTATTTGCAGGACGCCATAGGCACAGTGATTTCAGCTGCTACAGTTTTTCGATCACCAGGAAACGGGAAAGTGGAACATACAACCAATTCTTGGAGGCGAAGGCATGTTCAGTTTGTTCAGAAATTGGGTAGCTACTCATTGAAGGCAACAGCTTTGATGCACCAGCGCCACTGACTGCGTGATTGGGCCATTTTCACCAATGTCATTAACCACTTGTGATACGAGTCCCAGGGTCCCCATCCACGTAGGTGGCAGTTGTCCACCTGACTGAGTTAGTGTTTTCGTAACTCGTTGCCAGGTTATGCATTGTCCACCTCAGCTTCCACTCAACACAGGGCTGCACAGAGCTCTGCGAGGCAGACGGTCTTCTGGCAGCGTAACCTATGGAGCTTGAGTAATTCATCTATTGTGAGAGATTCCCTTTATCCTAGGACCACCTGGCATAACTCAGCATTACTAATCCGATGTTCCTACCAAACCTGACCAATGCATCGGAGATACCTGTAGTCAAACATTTGCAGATTTCGTATGTCCTCCGAGCGTAGGGGCCACGTCTATGATGCATAAACCAGTATGGATCGCATCACCGCAGTGTAAACTCTTCCCTTGACAGACTAGCTCACCTCACGTCGGCGCCATAGGTGTCGGAAATCGGCAAAACTGCCCTGGCCTTTCCGATTCGAGAAATAATCAAATCTCCAGCCAGTCCAACTGAACTTATACAGCTGTACAGGCGAGCAAATTTATGTACCACGTCGATTGGCTCATCTGCAAGCATGATGTGTGGGTTTGATCCCACCCAGTCTTGTAGGAGCACTTTACGCTTTGCAGGTGTGAAGCGCATCCCAAACCGTGCGGCAGTTATTTAGGTCATTTAAAATCGTTTGCATTTGGGATGGATCTGAACCAAGGAGAACGATATCGTCTGGATACTCAATGTCTGTGAGGGAACGTCCCGGGAGCATTGTGGCTCCCGAGGTTTCAGAGGCAGGCAGAGAAATTTCAAGCAGCACATCAATAACAAAGCTATAGAGGGAAGGGGAAAGAGGACAGTCTTGTCTTACACCGCCAGATTTGGTAAACTCAGGCGAGAGCCTCCCGTACACTCGTACGCGCCCACAGGAGTTCGCACACAGTTCTCTCATAAGGGAGAAAATTTTGGAAGGGACACATCTGATCGCCAGACATTGCCAAAGTTGCTGACGATCAACAGAATCAAAAGCAGCTTTCAAGTCCAGAAGAACGACCAACGTGGACTAACTCCGCGGCATTTAGGTGATCCGTAACCCAGTTCGTTCTATGTAAATAGAATACCTACACACGGAGTGGAAGCCATGGATTAGTCTCGCACAATGCACTGAGTGACACGTGTCATTCTACTTAGGGGTGTAACCAAAAGCCGCAATGTGTTTGTCTTGAAGGGTCCCAGAACGAATCCCACAATTTCGCATGTGTAATTGCAGACTATCTAATTGGCGTGTCTTTAACTTCGCACATTCCGCTTGCCGCCTTTGCTCACATTGCATCATCATACGAATGCCACGCCCACTGGGTGCTAGTTTTAACGGCAAATTAACTTGTGTAATTTCCTCAGTCTGTATGACAAATCGTACCGGAAGGTGGGGTGGTAATTTCACCTGATGATAGGACTCACAAACTGGAGTCACGTGTTGCAGTTGAAATGAATTTGAAATGTGCGACAAAGGTTGGTGAAGTGAGAACGGATTAGGATGAAGAGGTTGGCCTCGATGAAACGTGCAGATTTGGTGGCAAGCAATCATTCAAAAACATAATCCTTTTTTCGTGCTTTTGTTCGGTTAGGTAAGAACTTGTCACCTATCTACCGCGTTGAACACGTAGAAACCTTGCTACCAGTTTAACGAGTATCCACTTTGTTCAGGGAATGGGATGTGTTTGACGAGGTGCTTGAACGAACACCTCTTAAGTTATCAGATTCCCCATTTCCAGCGTTACGTACGGAAGGGCTGGTCTACAGAATCTCAGGTGAATGAAATTCGCTACTTTGTCGTACTACAATGAGTAGTCACGCAGCCGTCTGAGTGAATATCAGCACCAGGAAGAGGTCGTGTGCTATATGGCGGTATCAGTGTGTGCATCAGTCAAAGGTTAAAGCATTTTTTATATTTTTAAGCAGATAAATTCCGGCGAAGCATATAAAATGGAACAGCACGTGTCTAGTCCCAGGGTTGAATCGACGGTGTTAAACGGAATGTTAAGGTGGAAGAGCCAGGGAACTGGATAGCCTTGAATAAAACCCAGCTTTGACGGGACCCTAACAAACGATGTCCTGCATTCAAGAGAACCCGAGGTTATGGTTACGAATCTAGTTCGAAAGCATTGCCCATCTCTGCGCATTATGTGAGTCCTGATCTCTATTTGGGATGTAACATAGTATATTATGCTAAGATAGCGCTCTGTGTGGGAGGAATCAATTCGTTCAGCGCTTATGCTGCTCAAAAAGCAACACTCGGGTGGTAGCAATATGCAAGTGAATATTGTCCTTACCCCACAAAATATCCAAACAACGTCACGCATTTGGACGTTTTCACACCCGCACACTGCAATAGAGTGGGCAGAGGCTGTTGCTATACGTATTCGGTTTACTAGGCGAACAGTACAACGTATGGTTGGTATAGGCAAAGCAAGCTAGGCTGTTTGTTCGTCCGAGCCATGTTCCGAAAATAAGAGTTCGGAATAGCTCAGTGATTGAGACACGAACTTATCGACCGGAAGGGCCGTAGTTCGAACCCGATTCCGGCATATCCACCTGGCAGCATCCAAGCCCTCATCGTTTTTTTCCGAGGCGAAATGGCCCAGGTGGTTAGAGCGCGAATTTACTGATCCCAAGGTCTGTGGTTCGAACCCGACCTCTGCCTCTCGACTTCCCCTGTCTAGGCTTGGGCAACCTGACAGTATCCCAGCCCTCATGCTTCCTTCGGGTGGCATGGCAGCTAGGCACCGAAAGGGTGCTACAACTGGGCGTTTTTTTTCCTTCAGGTGAGTTTGGCACAGAAAGGGTAATAGAGCTGAATGATTATATTATATCTTATACGTGATAAGATTGCGTTTTCCTTGATTAGTCTCTCTGAAGATCTATACAGCCACAGCTGAACGGTTTTTTTTACATTTTGTCCGGGCACCAGACTCAACCTGGGATGTATGGTTTCTGTTTCAAGTCGGTTCGTTCACAAGGCATCGTTATGTTGTTTCTCCACTCACACAGATGAACGGAAAATACGGTCCCAAAGGTCAAAGTCAAAGGTCAAAAATTGGTCATGGTTACTATGACACATAGAATGGAACAGGAAAGTTCGAAGCGGTTGTTCGGGTCAAATGGTGGAAAAGTGGGTGGAACAGGTCACTGCATCGGTCACTGCATCGCCAACATTAGCCAGCTGGGTCTAGTAACCATGGCTGGGTCGGATGTGAGTTTTGAGTGGGCCGTTCCGGAATGCGTTCGGACAAGGTTCACGACCCGGCGTGACGTAACACAGCCGAGGAACGGTCGTTTGACCACTGTTCACCGGCCAGCTCTAGATGGTGTGCTTCGTTACGTTGGTAACCACTTCAATGCATTTTACTCACGGATGGATTTCCGTCATGTGGTGCCCGAATTCTGTCCGGTTCGTGAAGCACACGATCATCATCATCATCAAAGAGAACAACATCAGTGTTGGCACTGATGTTACATTGCCGTACGAAGCACGCGAACAAAGCGAGTGATTCTCATAAGGGAAACTACTCAGAAGGCTGTTGAAAACTCTTCGATAGCCCACGACCCGTTTTGCCCTTCCAGTTCGGGCTCATCAGGTAGGCGCAGTCCCCGAGTTTCTGTCAACCTTATGATCCACTTGAATCTACTCGAATATTGTGCCAACTGAATCATGAGGCGGCCTGTGTGCAGCACATTCAGCTGGAGGACATCGTAAACGAGAGATTCAATTGAGTCTCCCATGAAAACCAAATTGATTTGCAAATGAGTGTATTTCTCGAAAGCGAGTGATTGTTAACCAAAAGATATGAGGCGGTAGTAAAAAGGTTTGCGACTGCACTGGAACTGTTCACTCGAAAACAGTGCAGTCCCTGTGCTAACTCCCAGCTAGACTCGCCTGTATGGATCGATCTAGATGTAGGAACTGAGTCCTGAAGTCTGACGAACCCAGAGATGGCAGGAGGAGTGCAGGACGCTCATGTAGTGAGGTTTCAGTTCAGGACACTGTGGACACTGCAAAGCAGCAAGTACTACAGTGTTTTAGCAGACTCGCTAGGCTTTTCAATGGATAAAACAACTGGTTCATGTTGGACTACGGCAGCCTTGCCTCTAACAATCAATAAATCATTAGCAGACATTTGAATAACTTGATGAAACCTTTGCAAGTGACTATACTCAGATAATTTATTAGATGCACATGGGCCCACAATTAACCCCACCCCTCGTACTAACTTACCTTCACTTACGCCATAATACCTGGGGCTATTTTCCAGGCTCTGCTTTTAACCTGACCTTCAGTTTACCTTTAATCATGTGTGAATCAGCTGATCTAAGAAGATCGGATCCTGGTTGTGAAGCGTGTCCCCAGTCTCATGGCACAAATAAGCCACTCTGCTAGTTGTTGTCGTCGCCGCTACTATAGCTTGAACGATGCAGCCAACGAAAACATGCAAATTCCCAGATCACATGCAACACTGTCGTGCCAGCATCTCCATACTCACAAGGTCGAACGAACCGAGCTGTCGGCATGCAACGAAACGCTTCCTTTGCCTGAGTGAAGCCCAGCTGAGCACAGACCAACACACATATATGAACGCGGCAACCCATACTACCTTGCTGTCATGTTTTTCACCGAAGCGGTTGTGAAGCCCAGGACATGATACTGTACTATCGCTCTTTTGCCTGGATACTTTTACCGCATTCCTGTCTTCTGGATTGGATGACTGTGCAACGCATGATGTGTTGTGCAACACTGTCTCTATCTTGGATCTCAGAGTTTCACAACGAGTAGGACATGTGCACAGTGACGGTGAACTCGATAGTTTCTAATATAACATAAGCATGGTTCGAGAACCTGTCTGGGTATTAGCTAGACACAGCACAGTGGGGTTCCAAAGACAGACTGCATAACCAGAAGAAAAAACACTCGCAAACTGATCCTCGATGCCAAGACCCCATAATGCCAATCATGAATGTAGGCATCTATCCTGGTTTTTCCGTATTCGAATATAAATGAAGGTGAGAACGAGAGATAATCGGTTAGCTACGCTGTTGAACTGAGACGAAAAAGCAGACGTGGCATTGGATTGTGTGCCGTTCCTCGATTTCGCTGGATTTGGGCGAATTTTCACAGTTCACGCTTTACATTGAATCTAATCATATAACCGAGTACCACACAACACATGAACCGAACACTTGGTTTGAAGTGAAGCTATAAACAACAACGCTTACTACGTTTGTCGCTCAAGTCGATCCTGTCACCACTTCGCATATTCTTGGAAAATCAATTCAGCCCAGTCTGATTTCAAAACTGAATACTTATCCGACACGATGGTGGGTTCAAGCAGAGGCTCACCAAAGTTCTTCATATAACTTTCTCGATGAAGTCAGATCCAGCTGACAGCACACGTGACCCATGATGTAGGGCATGTCAAGGTATTCTTGTTCCAATTTATGACTACACGTTCTTCTCAAGGTAACTCAACCCTAATGAGAGCGAGTAATGCGACAGACTCATTTCTTTGTAAGAGGTTCTTATTTAAAAACAGGGATACGCAATATACTACTAGTTAGGTTGCTGAAAACGCTTCGACAGACCACCGCAAATGAGAGATTCAGCTGGATTCAGCTGAGCCTCTTGTCAAAACCGAATTTTGTTCGAATGAGAGTTTTTGTCAAATAATGTCGAATAGTTTCAGCATTACTCCACACTTACAGTTCAAAACCTAGATTTATGAATAGCCTACTCAGTCTGAAAGGATTCGAGTACATCTTCGGCGCATGCATGTGCTTTCAGCACTCAGAGGGTATCTCATCTGTGGTTCAGCGGAATTCCTGTCCAACTATTTTTTAGGAGTTTGCTTTGCCTTCGGGGTTTATGCCCACAAACGCATTTGCGTAAAACGGTCCCCGAAAGAAACCCAACCAAAGAGTTTCACTCATCTTGAGAGCCCATAACGGTGACCCGCGTGGGCTGCCGAACGGCCCTCAATACAAGGGTAGTCTTCTAGAGGAGACAAAGTGTAACCGTTCCCTCCCATCTCGAGAGCAGATATACGGTGAAACAGGGAGTTTGTCTTCTCGGTGTCGCGTCAATTAACCAAACCGTAGGGGAAGTGCGGAACGGTACAAAAATTGTTTCAGTAATTTCCTCTTATTTCCCCTTAGTGTAGGAGCTTGGTGCTCCGAATTACAAAAATCAAGCATTATCCCCACCAGATGTCGACAAAATGCGAACTATGCACTGCTTGGAAAAGGAAACTAAAGTAATCAGGTGGGAACATGTCAGTATGCTAGACGCTGTCCCTAGGCCATGATTTAGAGAGAAAAACCAAGTACTAGTTTTGAACTTCATGAAATGTTGTCCGGGAATATCTGAAGAGGAATCCCGATGGAAGCGAAGGGGTTTTCCCCAGTTGGGATTAAGTGGCCATAGCCGCGAGACGTCTGACATTTTGGCTAATCACTACAGCATCTGTCTGATCACCGGACAAATCGGGTTTGGATGGAAGGCCTTCTCCTGGAGTGCATTGAAATCTGTTCGATGTGACACTTTTGAAGGCTTCTATCGGAGTTCATCTCACGTTTTCCGTACACACATGAAATATTCGTAGGATACGAAATTTTGTAGATGGCTATGAATTTCTTGACACTCTCGGACAAAGGTCAACGTTCAGCTGTAGCACCCTTCCGGTGCCTAGCTGCCATGCTACCCGAAGGAAGCCAGGTTGCCCAAGCCTAGACAGGGGAAGTCGAGTGGCGGTCGGTTTCAACGCCAGACCTTCCGGTCAGTAAATTCGCGCTCTAACCACTTGGGCCATCTCGCCCCCGGGCAAAGGTCAGCTTGCCGGGCAGAGGTCAGCTTAATATTCACCTCATATTGAAGAACTACTGTCACTATGGTGCCCACTTGATCAAATATTGACTCAACCTTGACCAAGAGAAAATTTCCCCTTGAGGAAACTACTTACAAGGTTGCTGAAAACTCTCCGACAGCCCATGACCGGTTTCGCCCTTGTTGGAGCTCATCAGGTAGGCGCAGTCCCCCCCCCCCCCAAAAA